CTCAAGTTTTTATTCAAAGGAGTTTATAAACAAGTAAGGGAGGGTAGGAGAGATACATAAAGACAAGCTTCAAGTTGATTTAATAAAAGTATAAAGACTTTATTAGCAAGGAAATATAAAACTTCTTGCGAATATCTTTTTTGTGATACTTGTAAAAACTATCATATTTATGAAAGATTAAATAATCTTATATAATAATTAAAGAAAACTTTTATAAGGTCATATTTAAACAGTGATTAAAAATAGTCATTATAAGTCTTTAGTTGTTAATTTAATTTATTAATAATTATCAAAAAACTTATCTGGAACCATGTGAAAATTAAAAATATTAATAAACAATCAGTATTTAAGAACTAAATATAATATAAAATATCAATTAAGTTTCAAATATATCCTATATAAGATAGATCCTTTATAAAATAAATATATCCCCAAAATAATTCCTTGATAAAAAAAAAATTACTTGATAAATTCTTGGAACACCAGATAGTTTAGTATAGTAGAATAATTAACAAAATAACATCTATAACAAATAAAATCAAGTATAATTTGAGTTAGGTTAGAATAGTATAAGCTATAAGTTATAAGAATTGGTTTTGTAAAAACAATCTGTATATTTCAATAATTTGATTAATAAAATCTATTCAATATAACTAGTTAAAAATAAATAAATAAATAAGAATTATGTTATTTAAAAATTTAAAATTGATTGATATAAATAAATTTTTTAAAAAATTATAAAAATAAAATTTTAAAAAAATACAAAAAGTTGTTAAAGAGAAAATAAATATTTTTATTATAGAAAATCTTAATAATAACTTGTTTTAAAGATAAAAAAGTTTTTAGATACTTCATAACTAATTATTTTTTTTAAAAAAATTTTATTATTATTAATAATAATAAAGTTACTTAATTTTTTTTAACTATTAAAAGTCAAGTTTTTGATCAAAGAGATTTATAAACAAAAAGGAAAAGTAGAAGTGACCCTAGAAAATACTTTTTAAGTTGTTTCAAATAAAGTATTAAGACTTTATTAATTGAAAAGTCAAAAGACTTTTAAATAAAAAAATTTTTTAATAGTATAAAGTATTATCTATTTCTATTTAAAATCTGTTCATGATTTATTAAAGATTCATCTTGAATAGAATATAAAATTGTTTTATTTCTTTTTAAAATATCAGTAAGATATATCACAATAAATCACGTGTTAATAAATTTCTATTTTCAAATTACCCAATAAGTGCAAAAGATGAATCAACTCACTACTCAGAACGACAATGAACAATTGGAGAATTGATTTCACTAATCTTTCGGAACAATCTAGGCTGGTTTCAACTTCATACAAGTTTTCCACGCAGAGGCTTGTGTTCTTTTTATGAGCCTAACTTCTAAATTTCAACTATAAGGCGGCGCGAAGTTCGCGGTCAAACAAATACCATTGATCCACCACCACCTCCGGGTTTCACAACTTTCACTCAAAGCAATGTATCCTCCTCAAAAGGAAGTTCGGTTTGTAGACGGAAAGAAAGAAACCTGTGGCCTTTTTATTTAACTCTAACATTTACCAACGAATTTACATATAAAACAGAAAAATAAGAAGGAAATACAACAAAGTGACTCCGAGGATCAAGAAAATCTCAAAATCAAGGTATGTTTTCGATTTTACCATGTTTGATTAAAATTCGCTTATTTAACGACCGTTGTGCATCTTAGAAAGCTTTGGATGCAGCCCTTTCTCCCGGAAAGAATATACCCATGAATGCCTTCATGTTATGGATGAGTGGGAACGGTGTACAAATATTTAGTGTTATGATTACAGGAATGCTATTTTTTCAACCGATCAAAGCTCTCATGAGTATGGACAGTGGTAGGTTTAAAGTAAAATCTTTGAATAATTACGCATCATCACTGATCGATACTATTATAATTTGAAGTGTTTGAGCGTTACGAATCACCTAAGACAAAATCTCATTTAATTTGGCCAAAAATTGTTTATGTGGCATTACAACTACTTACAATGTTGCTTGGATTATATAAATGTTTTTCCATGGGGTTACTACCCACCGCCACTTCAGACTGGTTAGCGTTCATGGAACCAAAGCAGGTATGTGCTAATTTTTTTTTTCCTGGATGAGTGAATTCTGTTTTGAACTCGAGACATTTACTACTATTGTTATTCTAGATCCTCGAATACTCTGCAATATGACAAGAACAGGAAGATTGCGCGTCAAATTATTGTTTGAGGACAATTTCATGAGATTGGATTTATGGACTGCGCAAGTTGAACATTTCATACGACCAAATGTTTACACCCGTTTTTTCAATAATTTGTTTGCATTAATTAATGTAACGATTAAATAAATACAACTCTTCAAGATCTGAATTTTTTTACCAAGCGTGTATCAAATGACGGAATTAGTCAATGTTTAACACGGGTTTAACTTCTTTCAAAATATCTTCTGCTTGTTTTAATTCATCTGTTCCAGCCCATGATGGATCTTGATTATTCTAAATTAATATAGTAATATAAATGTAAATTGTTAATTTTAAACCACAAAGAAATTTCTTTCGCGAAATCTTGTGCTTACAACTAAATCCTGTAATTCCCTGTAAGCTTCTTTAAGCTTATTCTTGACTTCGTGGATCATTGACTGTGATTCTTCTAGTACTTCATTCTAAGGAATTAAAGAAGATTTCACAAATAGGCTTGCCCAACTTTCGCTATTTCATTTTCATTATAAATGAAATTATTTATTACCTGCTTAGCAATATCATAAGAGTCGGCGCCATCCGCTGTGATCTTTTCGATTCGTTTTTTTTGGTTCTCGACTTCTAGGTGATATGTTTTTTCTTCCTTGAAGAGACTTTTCAAAATTTTGAACAAAGTCAACTCAGTTTCATGAGCGGTGAAAGCTTCAAAAAAGTTTAGTCGACACACCGTTTGACGACTCCCGTCTTTATTTTAAGATCTCTAAGAGACATTTTTCTGATTTGTAGACAATCCGTCAATCCGCATCCATTTGAATTAAATTCTAGTCAATTCAAAAAATCCAGCCAATAACAACAGGATTTTTTACATGATTTTAAAAATTTATTTTTTTTTTGCACAGGTTCTCGATCGGATTAAGATTGGGACTATTGAACGGCCAGTTCATTATAGCGAGCATATTTTTTTCAAGAAAACTTCTTGCTTTATGGCTTGTATGCTTAGGATCATTATTTTTGATCTTGAGTAGTTCGATAATTTTATGAAAAAATTAGTATCCGTGATACTGATAAAATAGTAAAGACTTATTTTTTTATAGATTGAAAATTCATCCCGTAAATAAATCTATTTTGTATTGATACTATATTAATCTATGATCTTCAAAATATATTTATTAGTTTATCTGCATCTAGTTTTTAATTATCTATCTTTGAGATTGTAATATACTATAGAGTAACTAATGCTAGTTTTCTATTAAATTTCTTATACACTTTATACATCATTGTTTCATAACTATAAAATTGTCTCACATCATTATTTTTTTTACTAATTATTGTATTATAAGAATCAATTCTTTTGATAGGTTCTATATAAGTAATACTAAAATTTTATATACTTTCACTATATAATATAAAGTTTATTTATACAAATTGAAATCTTATATGTAGATCAATACAAATAACTCTTTCTGCTAATCCTCTGACCACACACAAAAAAGATGTTTGCAAGAAGTTTTTATACTTCTTTGCTAATAAAG